GGAATTATTTTTGGTGTGAACATAGTATTTTTCAAAAATGAAATTATGTCACATTTCAATGTTGGAGTGTCAATAAAGAGTTGATTTGCCCTTATGTTGAAATTCCTTCCTCTGAGTTCATTTCACTGGGGAATGTCATTCTGAAGTAAAGGAAGCATCCATTTAAAGTCTAAGTCACTAAGTCAGATACAGTCATCAAAATACATATTTTATGTTTTCCAATGTGCAGCCCTTTCTGGACAACAAGCATGAACAGAAAAATCACATGAGAAAATAATTATTACAATCTTACTTAAAAATGTGATTCTTAAAGAAAAGTTAGCACTAAGATGTTTTAATACATCTTAGTGCTAACATATGCTTTTTTAAGACCTTTCCTTTATGAAATTACATAAGCATTTTATACATTTTTACTCCTGCAGTGAGAAATAAAGTTTCCGTGTAATTGAAAGACAGGCATCTGCTTGTACTGATAGGTGATAACTTGTTTGTGATTGAATAAGGGCATCAAACTTTATAGTAGCAGTTGCATATTCTTTGCATCATTTTGATCTACTTTTTAAATATATATACACAGGTAAGGTGTGCTAGCAGTAGAGAAGATACAGAATTTGTCTTTCTGAATGTTTTCTGATAATTTCTCACAGTTGGCTTAGCAACAAATATATAAAAACTTATTTACATAAAAATGGAAAGTGATATTATTGATCTCTGACAGCACTTGATCAGGCTTTTGCATTTTTAATTCTGTGTCCAGTATATTGGTGCTAACTATGGTGTTAATTATAGCTTCATATTTTTGTATTTGTGCATCTATGTTTATTCCTTGGAGTTGAGGTTTTGAATTCTTTTTGCACTCTCATCATATCTTACAGCTAATTATAAAGAATACTTTCTCAAGCCTTAGTTCACCTCAGGAGAAAGCTTGTGTTTAATTGTCTTTTCCTTCTCATCAGGATGCTACAAGAGTAGTGTCATGGTACAGTAGCTAGCTGCTGCACTCCTGCATATTCTGTTTGCATGAAATTATTAACTTAAAACAACAGCACGTTTAGCTTGCTATTAGTTTTTGAGTGTCTACAGTGACAAGACACCAAAAACAGAACAGTTGTCGAGTTGTCAACTGCAGTTGTAAATGCAAAATAGGTTTGGGGGCTATAGACTCTTGCAGTGATATTGAAATCATTCCATTTGTAGGAGGAAAAGAAATGAATATACTGAGATAGGTAAAATAGGTGGGGAGACAAAACAGACAGGCACAGCATTCTGCAAGGCTTATTAACTGTGACAGTACTAGATGATACTGTTGTAGAAGTTGGGAATAATAATTTCAGATACTTCTTTTGTGGGGAAATTTGTAGGCAAAACTGCATTACTCCTGTAGGTTTGATTTTATTTATTTGTTTTGTGTATTGGTCTTCTCTTTGAGGGGGAATTCGTGGAGGTATTTCTTATCTTTGTGCTATACCTTATAGAACTTAACTCTTGATTACATGTATGTAAAGTCACATTTATGAGTAGATTCTGTATCTTAATTAAAAATGTGCAATTACAGGGAAGAAAATTCATCTTATTCTACTGATAACAATGATAGCAATAAACACATATTTTACTGAAATACTGAAGTAAACAGCCCTTTATACCATCATTTTCTCCATCATTAATTTGTATTATATATTACATTATTTTAAAAATATATATTTCAATATTTTCAAATACTTATCTAATGTATTTTTGCCACTTTTTTCATTGTGCATTCAAAAAATCCTTCAAAAGTTATAAAGCTTCAGTATTCTTATTTAGCCTACTCTTAATTTTTGTAAACTCTTAACCAATTTTGCTTCTCATTAATCATTTTTCCATTAGTAATGACACATATATTTAATGAATTGGTATTATTTCTAAAAGCTGTGGGTCACAGCTGCCACCATTTCCTTTTTTTTTTTTTTTTTTTTTTTTT